TACGGTTTCTGAAATGTTTTGCGTCTGACACCTTTTGCATGATTTAATGGTAAAAATTTTGCTCAAAATCCTATTGTACACAATCAGATATACCTGATAACAGCCAGTAGAAGACTACACAAAAAATAATCTTGTCTTATCGCATAGTAATAAATTATTAATATCAAAAATCTATTGCTGTTTTTTCTTTTTACATATTTTGTTAAAAGGCCAAATAAGGACTTCAAACCAAAAAACTGTAATTTTCTGTCTTGTTTTATTCTTGGATTGGGCTTGAAAGGGTTAAAAAAGCTCAGTTCTTTTAATATTAGCCTGCAGTATGATGGGGGGGGGGGGATTCATGGAAAAAGTCAGAGCTGACAATGAAGGCAGGAAGAAAGAAATTACGCAAATGAAACTGCAGCGCGACGTCCTTGAAAGCAGCCGCTGAAGAGCTGCGAGAGATTAAAGCCAAAACTGCTCAAACGCTTTTTGTCTTTTTCATAGTTTGTTAGTTTAAGTAGAAACCAAAGAGACAAGGAATGATAATGAAAGTAAAAATCCCTGAAACACTTCAGTCTGCCTTCCAGCTTTGACACGAAAAGCCTCCCAGCGTCCTTCAGCCTCCATCTTCCAGCTTTTGTCCTTTCAGGCGGTGAATAGCAGCTGCCTCTTTCTGCTTTCTACATTCCTCACATGCTCTCTTCTTTATTTACCCATCTCCCCTCCTCGTTCCTCATCAGAAGACGTACCGGGACTTCAGGCTGCAGGGCGTGCTGGACGCCACGCTCAACAACAACAGCTACGAGACCGTGTCCAAGCGGCTGAGGATGGAGGAGGCCACGGCGGCGGTGAAGGGAGGCGACGGCCTGCAGGGCATCAGCATGAGGGACAGCGACGAGGACGACGACTGAAGCTCCTCCCGCTGAACTCCTGAAAACGAAAACATGTTTGACCATGAGTCCACCCTCAGAGCTGTTAGTCTGAGGTGGATCTGTTGGTTTTGGCTCTACGTTGATCTCAGACATGTAAAGACGGTGATTCTGTTCAGTTTAACAGTTTGATTTATGCTCAGCCAGTTTTCCTCCTTCAAAGATGCTCAGAGGCGGCGCTGATGATGATCTGCCAGAGCGTCCGGTGGCGGCAGTATGATGCTGAGGTGTCCTTTATCTGGACGCCCCCCCCCCCACACACACACACACACACACACACTTTAGATCATCAGAGAGGATTGGATCATCACAGCAACTGACTGTTGGCAAACTTTCAAAATTCATTAAAAGGGGGTGGAGATCGGACCGGGACGCCTTATCACAGCACCGAGATCTGAACTGGACCGGTTCCTGGTCAGACGCTGTTTGGTGCAGAATTGATTCCAAACTGGAACCAGAACCAGCATTCTGCTCAAAGGCGTCCCAACCAGCATCTTTGTTCACTTTAAAACAACCAGAATTTGTTGGAGTCTGTTTCTGCCCACAAACCACAGCTTTCATTTTAATTTGCTTTAAAAACTGTTGGTTCTGGTTCTGATTCTGGTTCTGATTCTAAATGTGTTTGAATGTCGGTTCCTGTTTCTGGTTGTTTTAATAAAAATGTGTCTTAATGAGACGAAGCCATAAGGAATCCAGCCAATAGGAAGACGGAGCATCAAACATGAATAAAGATGGTTTCATTTCCTAAAAAATAAACCCCCCCTCCCATTAGGATGAACTGGACCTTGTACTGGTTCTGATGGTCGACTCTAAATATTCCAGTATGAATGCCCCAGTGGTTCCAGCACCGCCGGGAATAAACCGCCAAATACTTCCCGTCTTTCAACCCTTCAGGTTTTTCCTTTTGTAGAAGTTCTGCTGAAGAAGTCCTGCCATCTGGTGGGTCAGTGGGTCATCTGAGGTCAGTTCCTGTTCATCTGCGCCGGTAGAAGAACCTGAGGCTCGGTACCCATCAGGCTGTTGGACATCCTCAGTATTTTATTTTTCTGCTGCAGCCAAACCTAGCAATGTCTGATTTGTAATTTCTTGTTAATGTTCAGAAATGTGCTGGAATTTAAATCCAAGGTTAAACAGATTCTTTCCTGATCGGAGTTTTTTAAACAATTATTCTGTCCGTCTGTAAATATGCCAAACCTGATAAAAACATACCTTCTGGAATGATGTCCAGGTAGTTCAGCCTTCAGCGCTTGTCTGTATTTTTCTTCCCATGTCTCCGTCTTGTTTCTGCTTAAATTCAGCCAGGATGGACTTCCTGCCATCCGACCTTCTCCTGCCTGGTACCTCTGGACCCTCTGATGGTTCTGCTGGTTGATTCAGCTGCTATTCCCTTCAGCTTTACAGTTGATATTCAGTTCTGCAGTTTTTATAACCCCTCACTAAGCCTAAACCTTTACATTTAAGGATTTTGTTCTTAATTAGAAGCTGTGCTTATTTTTATTTAATCATTCATAATGGGAGTTTTTTAAATTAGGAAATTTTGTCATAACTTGGTATAATTATGGCCACCAGATGGCAGTAGAGTGTGGGTTATATGACCATATGTGCAGAATTAGCTTTAGCTTGTAGATCCTTAGCTGTATATGCAGACTGGAAGTGGATTAAAGTGAGTGTTGCATTGACCACATGATGACAAAGTTGCGTCGTCACTCCACCGAAAAAGAAGCTGTAGTACATATGCCAGGCCCTTTGGTGGCGCTGTGACAACGCTACAGCATTAAACCCAAACCCTTACAGACAGTTCACGCCATGTAAACATGGCTCACATTCAAGCTGCTATCACACCTTGTTGATTTAGACCAGCGTTTGCCTGACATATGAAAAATCTGGCAAAAATGCTGAAATACGTTGGAGAAGTTATGGGTACGTTTTGTATAATAGATGAGCACGCTGAAACATGTCAGCATAGAACAGTTAGCATGCTTAAAGGAAAATTCCGGTTTTTAACACTTTTAGCCCATTTTCTGTAGTGTCCAGGATGAAATCGAATGATCGACACCAAAAT